CAGAGGTCGTCTTTTCCCGAAATTGGTTCTGGAAGATGCCTGAGACGTCGGTCCACCTCATTCCAGAGATGCTCTATTGGATTTAGATCCGGAGACTGGGCCGGCCAATCTAGAACATTAACATTATTTTTTCCAATCCATTTCTTCGCTTTTTTTGATGTGTGTTTCGGGTCGTTGTCAGATTGAAAGATAGCGTTATTTATGTTTATATCATATCACGATAATGATCCGAGGAAATCTTCATCGAGTATTTGTACATCAAGTTCAGCGTTGAGACCACCATCAATGCGACAAAGGTTTCCAACGCCATGAGAAGTCATACACTCCCACACCATGATTGAACCACCGCCAAATTTCACTGTAGGTTTGACGTGAAAACTGCGAATTGGATCCTCTGGCCTCTTTCAGATATACTGGCGTCCATCTGAACCAAAAATACAAAACTTACTTTCATCTGACCACACTACACGCTTCCAATCTTCAGACGTCCAATCTTGATATTTCTGGGCAAAGGTTAGACATTGTTTTCTGTGTGTCTTTGAGAGGTATGTTTTTTTTTCAGACTCGTGACTGCAGACCATTTCTTTTGAATGTTTTGCGTACAGTATCAGCTAAGGATGCTTGCCTAAATCCTTTCAGAAAAATATTATCATAATTTCGACAGGTTACACACTAATTATTAATTAGAATTTCGACATAATTTCGGTTACGACGGGTTTCAAAATTCGTCAGAATTTTGACGGGTTATTTACTAATAGTTTATTATAATTTCGACAGAATTTAGACAGTCACTAAGAGATTTCAGCAAGCAACCTTAACTGGACCAGTCTGCGACGATAGGAATTGCGTAATTAGAAAGATATGCCTGCATTGGTTCTTGATTGTATGCGCATCTAGATATCCTTCAATTCCCTTTAAACTATTTTCAACAAAGTCGAAAAGAATAGAATTCTTAACATGTCGCTCACTTTTTTTTTCTACTAATCTATCGTCATAACTATGTAAAATAAGTTTCTCTAAGAGTTTATTATCAGAATATTTTCTTTTTATGTAATCTCGCATATAATTATAATATGAAACACCAAGATTTACAATGAATCGCTTTTCAAGATGTTGCGCAACTAGTTCACCATCTACAATTTTTGGATTAAGTACTTTATTGTACGGTATTGCTAATGTTAAGCACGGATTTGCCACGATTGTTGTCATATGTGCTGCCCAAGATGTATTGGTAGTGTCAGATTGCCGTTGAACATGAATATTATGATAATCATCAATATTTAATATAAGAGCATTATCTAAATATTCTGTAAGAACATCTTTTACGCATTCTTTGTGCTCTTCTGATATTTTTTTTACGATCTACTACTCTTGTCATTGTTGTTATACCAATATTTATCATTGTATTTAATCCTTCGTTACTTGTTCCTGTTGAATCTAAATAATATGCAAGATCAAACTTAAAAGCATTAATTTTTGTATTATTTAATGAAGCAAGAAGATAACAAATGGACACCATTATTCATTTCATACGATTCATAATTTGGCTATTACGTTTTGATGATTGAGCTGCTAAATAAAGCTGATCAAAAAAATCACTTAAATTTGGTTCTTGTTCTTCAAGAAACATTCGCATTTCATCAAATTTATAGATAGGATCTTTCTTTTCTATAAATTCTCTTTTATAAAGAATTTTTGCCATGGAACTTATAGCTTCCACAAGTCCAAAATTTGCACTTGATATATCTATTTCTTCAATTTATTCTTCTGAAATATTTATTGGCTTTTCTTTTTTATTAATAATTTTTTTTCTCTTCTTATAGGATTTTCTATATAATGCATGTAACAAGCATTATAAAGTATACTACCTTTTCTCCATGATTCTCTTTCTAAACTTCTAGCCTTGATTTCTTTCCATTTTTCGTCACCTAATAAATGAAATCTCACTGAACTAGTAACCTGACACTCTATACATTTCTTATTATCTGCCATATGAAATATTATATCCAAGTCATTGGATTCAAATGGATTCAACTAATATTCGTGTTCTATGGGATAAATACTTTAAGTTTATTTAATTACATTATTTGTATTTACATATAACACAAGCGAGTAATACAAGATATTTAAAGTACTTTAAAATAATATAAAAAAAATTTATTAAATTGTATAATGTTCAACCAAAATCTACTTAATGAGTATGATCTCTGCTGTAATTTTATTAGTATCGTACATAATAACACAAACACGACAATTAACAAAAAAACAATCCCGTTTTTTCTCTTTTTTATAATGCGTGGAAAGTAGTTGACGAATGAACAAAGGAAGCAAATAATTGATGCTTATCTTGCTGGCGTCAAAGATCTAAACCTCGCACTTAAATTCAATATTTCTCAAGCAACAGTATACGATACCATTAAATGATATAAAGAAACAAATTCCCTGCATCCTGAAAAACGTTCCAGTCAGCCAAAACTCTGACCAATCATGAAAAACATACACTAAAATGAGTTATTCTAAAAAATCTGTTTTCTCCACTTGGTGAAATCACAAATGAATGAACTAAATGGCAAACTCAACACTACTTATCATGCTAATACCGTCCGCAAATACTTGAATGAAATAGGATTCAGAAGCTACACTCCAAGAAAAAAACCCCTTTTGACTCCTCGGTCTTTGGTGAAATCATCCATGTGTCCAAGTCATCATTTTACATACAATCTTACTGTTGATCTTATAATGCCGTCAACGAGCCATCTGGTCACCATTAAAAATCAGAATGACAATTACATCAAAGATATGTACGAGCCATAATAATGACATTCATCAATAAGATTGTGAATATGTTGTCGAATGCGCAGTGCATAGGATTCCATTTTTGAGGAGAAGCTTGGATCTCCGGGAAATGAGATTATCGAAATTGAAACAAAGACGTACAAGTCTTTGAGCATCACCATTGCCAATACAGCCAGAGCCATGCATGGATGAATACCTAAAAAATAAATGAATATCAATTAGCTATTTTTCAAAGGGTATGAAGTCAAGATTTGACCATTACTCACCAAGTCATAAATGTGCGGACACCTGGATCTAGAGAACAGACACGAAGACCTCCCACTTGGTTCTCATGGGAGGTTACTTTGCTCTTCTCATAAACCAAAATGAATGTCCACTGCTGTTGATGTTGATCCCACATAAGTTTGGAACCATCATTGACCCATTCTTCTAAGTTTATTTTCTAGCGATAAACCATTCTAGATCTACATCCATCATCAAGTTATCATTCAGCTTGCGTTGGTGATAGAATCTTTCTCAAGTTACTCATTTGTATGAGCTTTTATAATTCGGATATAATTACACCTGAAACTGAAAATTCTATGTTTCAATTTAGATTATGTAACAATCTCATAATGAGAAATATAATTTATGTAGACCATTCACTATCTGAATTTTAGATTATTGTTTGTCTACTAAAGTTTCAACCAAGAAATTTTAGATTATAACATAAACGGATAATTTCTTCAATAGTTATATCAGTGATGAGTTCACATGTTGAAGGTTTGGGCATGAACATGCAATATCGCATATAGACGAATCAGTAATAAACCAAGCTCGAGATATTATGGTATGACTGTACTATTGCTTTGATAGAAGTATCAGTAATGTTAACAGAAAGAGACATCGAGATATTTGAGATTGGGAATCTCAATGAGTGAAACCTTTTTTAAAAGCTAGATGAATTATATTTGGACATGAACGTGATTTGAAAGTTCATTATAGTGCATAATTTTAAGACACCTTTTACTTGAGCTGTAGATTGGTCTCAGCTATAATATATTACCGGAAATTTCAAAAATGAATTTGTCACATTGGAAGCTGATATCTCGAGATCCAGTGATCCCATTCG